ATCCTTAAAGGGAGGGGGAGTACTAAAACATTTTCAGTATATCATTTAAAAGGTGGGTGAAGAATTTACAAGGCCATGAATGTGCATCATGCTACTACATAAGAGATGAACATATAGATGCACACCACAAAGTGATGGTGTTGTGTGTTGTAAAGTAATCCAATAACATCTGGAGACAATTAGCTCCAGTGTATAGCTATACAACAATATATTACAAATCTACATTTCAATGAACTGGGTGAAGATAGGCTGAGTTTGTGACTACTACTGACAAAAGGGAAAATGGTGTTGGAGAAAAATTAAAGAAACCCACCTTAAGAAGTTCATAATGTTGAATCCCATTCACTCCAATGTCAGGATCAATAGCAGAAGGGACAGAATACCGGGAATTAATGGCTGTGTTTTCAGGGATGGAGATGTTAATAACGGTTGAGGGAAAGAGAGGAGCATTGTCATTGATATCCTCTATCAGGAATCTGATCTTGACTAATCTGAAGACTTCATCAGGCAGAACAGCTACCTCCACCTCATAAAAGCAGTGGTTCTCACTGAAGATTCCAGAGCACAGCTTCTCCCGGTCTATACGGTTAGCAGTAGTGAATATCTCACCAGTGTTTTCCTCTACCCGCACTAATGGTACATCTCCAGTCTTATACACAAGCTTAAACTGAAGAGGAGATGAAAGAGGAACATCTGGGTCCAACGTCAAGTTGAGATCCTTGAGCAAATTGCCAATCAGGACATTTTCTGGCAGTTCTTCCCTCACTGTATAATTCTTCTCCTGAGCACCAGACTGATATACAATACAGGCGAATAAGACTGCCAAGAGGTAGGTTCCAGACAGCAAGTCCATTTCCAGAATGGCTAATGAGTATTTTTATAGAACACCAAGGGCAGCTGGAAAAGAGAGGAAAGGGAAAAAAATATTAAAAAGCCATACAACAGTACGCCAGTCAAATGCTACGAATGCAAAAGGAAATTTAGCATTTCATGAGCCAAGTAATTGGAAAACTGCTGTAAAACTAGGTCAATCAAACTTTATATCTTACTCTGAACAATGTCATATCAACTAAATAGTAGTAAAGTGGATAATCTCTTACAGCTGCATTTTTGTACCCTCAAATTTTTAAGACTGGATCCACCAAAATTCAAGGGCCTCTTCAACAGACATTTGTAATCAACCTTCTGAAAACAAACCTTCCCCTCTAAAGCACGCCCTGCTCTGTTGGCACTCATTTATCTCCCACCTGCAAGTCTTTGATGTTCCTTCCTGGAGCAGCTCAGACATTCTCAAGTCCACCACAGTACATGGTATGCAAGTAACCATTAGCTGTGCAGCACTTGCTGTTCTGCTTCTGAATCACTTCTGTCTATGGGCATTTGTGGACCCCTTTACACATCACACTTAAGACATGATTAACTGGTTAATCAGTTAATCATGCCTCAAAGTTGTGACTCAGTTACACACTGAACCAATTAAAGATGTGTTAAAACAAGCAATAAGTTACAAAGTTATTCCACATTCAAAATGTATAACTCTATAGCGTGTTCTAATTATGCCATTAATTGAACTTGTGACCAAGTGCACCCCTGTGGCTGGGAGCCCCATCAACTAAGGACTTGCAGGAGGTGGTGCACAAGGATGCACCGCCTGCTGCAATCCCTGCAGTTGACAAGGCTCACAGTGGCAGCAGCATCCCCTGCACTGCCCCTGCTGTAAGCTTGATCAGCTGCACGGCTTGCAGCAGGGAGAATGCTGCCCCACACAAACCTCGTAAGGTGCGGGGCTCACAACAGGGGCAGTGCCAGGAATGCTGCTGCTGCTGCGAGACTTGTTGACTGCAGGGCTCACAGTAGGGGGCTGTGTCTTCAGCTGCAGGGCTCACAGTGGAGGCAGCGGAGAAAAAGCTGCTGCCGCTGCAGGCCTCACAGTGGTGGCAGTGTTCTTCCTGCTGCCCCCGCTATGTGCCCTGGTGTTGATAAGTCTGGCAGCGTTGGCAGCATTCCTAGTGCCATCCCCCGACCTGCAACCAAGGTCATCATGATCTAGGGCTCCCCCTGGACAATCAATAAGGAGTGATAGGACCTAATGCGTGATCCTACAATTGCACCTCCTGCCAAGCACATGTGGCATAAGAGGAGGCGCAATTTTGTGACTTGTGCATTATATCTCTTTGTGCTTTTATATGCATGTGTAGAGAGGCCCACAAATCACAGGAGACTTAAGTATTGTCTCTGTAATCTGCCTCTGGTTTTTGTACTTATATAAAACTATACAATGGTTCTAAACATTAAGAAACACATGCTGGGAAAACTGATCAAAAGAATGCCAAAAGAACTTAGAGAATAATGAACAGAGACTCCAGCTAGTAACAAAATTTCCAATTTTTAAATAAGAAGGGACCTAGGTCCAAACACTCTGAGGTAAATAAAACTCTATAGTAACATTGGATCACAATAACAAATCACAAGAGCGCTCTGTCTGCTCACCTGAGTGCTCATCTGTAATGGTTCTCATGTCAAAATGGAAACAATTGTAGGAGCAGTTGTTATAATCTGAACTATTTCACAACAACAACGGCTAGGGACAGATATTCAAAAAAGCCTGAGCCTGAATCAATTCAATCTTTGCAGGTTAGTCTAACCTGACTAGGCTAAGCAAATAAAATCCTGGCTTGCATCTACAAATGTATCTCAGGCAAGACCCATGATGTCATCCTCCCACTTTATTTGGCCTTCGTGAGACTATGGCTGGAGTACTGTGTCCAGTTCTCAGCTCCACACTTTAGGAAGGATGTGGAGAAGCTTGAGAGAGTCCAGAGGAGAGCCATGTGCATGATCAGAAGTCAAGAGAGCAGGCCATATGAGAAAAGGCTGAGAGGCATGGGAAAAGCATAGGCTCAGGGGGAACTTGGTGGCAGCCTATAAGTATATCGGGGTGTGAATTAGAATCTGGGAGAACATCTGTTCCCCAGGGCACCCCTAGGGAAGACGAAGTCTAATGGTCACAAACTGCTAGAAGATTGTTTTAGGCTGGACATAAGGAAAAAACTTCTTTACTGTCTGAGTCTCCAGAGTCTGGAATAGACTCTCCCCAGAAGTGGTGCAGACACACACTCTGGACACATTCAAGAAGCATTGGGATGATTATCTCACTGGGGATATCTGACCCCAGTTGACTCCCTGCCCTTTGGGCAGTGAATTGGACCCGATCATCTTGCAAGGCCTCTTCCAGCCCTAATGTCTATGAAATCTATAACATTTATTAAATCAGTTTGTAACTGCACAGACATCCCCTCTGGACTGAAAAAATGCCGGCACATGCCTGTAGTGGCTAAGGCTAGAAGTGGGAGTGGGGGAAGAGGGCACTACAACAGCCCTCCTTCCTCTTGCAGTGTTGAACTTGCACTGTTGAGCTAAGGGAGGCATGGCCAGGCCCCAGCAGGACACTCTTGATAACAGAGCATTTATCAGCTCTGTTATCAGCATTTAGCACCCCATCAGAAAACATGGGGCCTCACTCATTAGTTCAAGTTCTTCTTAAACAGCCTTTTTCCAAAGGAAGGAATGCAGGGACATTACCAGCTGACCTGCTGATTAGCTCCAAAAAGCACTGTCCTATCTGCCTTACACAGACGCCTCTCAGCATTAGTTAGCATACCACATGCTGGCTACGGTCTGTGCTGTGGGAGAAAGGAGGAAAGGACACAGCAGGGTCTGCTGGCTTCCCCGTGTCCCACTCCTGCTTAAGTACAGGAGGGGGAGTGGGACACAGGGAAGCCAGAAGACCCTGCTGTGTCTACAAGTCTCTGCCAGAGCTCTAGCCAGGGAGCAGAGAGGAAGGGCAAGCCCTGCTTTGGACCAGAGAGCTCTGCCCAGCCCAGCCCAGAGGGCATGCAGGGATGCTGGGGGAATCTGATTTAACTTAAACCAGCAAGAGGTCTGGGACAGACATTGTGTAAGCTGGTTTAACCCAAATCAGTTAACCAGGTTTATCTCCAACAGGTTTCAGCCATTTTCAAAGTGGTTTATGTGCACTGAATGTCTGTTCTGTTACAGATTTAAACCAGTTTCTGATCACTTAAACTGACTTATGTGTAACGTCTGTCCCTAGCCAAGGTGGGCTTTTAATAGGCTTAGTCCTGTAATGCCCAGCTCTTTTATGCATAGTGTCTATCTATATTGGATACTAGCTGGTAACTTCAATGGGAATTGTTAGTTCTTTCTTCTTTGGGTAAGACATTTTTAAGGGTTGATCTTAGTCTCTGACAGGCTAACCTTCATGTATTTTTTGGAATTAGACATTATTAGACAAGTATTAGACATTTTTTGCTTGATTAAATTATTCTAAATCTGATCAGATTTGACGGCAAGTGAACAAGTACTGTTTCTTAACTGCTTTGATATGCATTAATAACTCATTTTATGGAACTGCTATTTAAACATGATAAATATGAGTTTCCAAGAGAAGGGAGAGAACATTCCACATTCTTCAGCTTGTTTTCTGAATGCAGCCTATTCCAATTCAGATTCATGAAAACTTACGCACTTACCAAAACTTGATGTAAAAAATACTCCTCAGATACAAATGACTGTTTGTGTTGAATATTAACAGCCTGAAACTGACTAACACTCCTAACTTTCAGTATGTCTAATGATTTTGGGACTGGTATTGGGCATCTTGAAAATGAGGAGACTCTTAAGAGTCACAGCACCTCTCTATATTTTAAATTGGGTCGCATCCCTGGTTGAGAACTGCTGCTGCTCTGTCTCAGTTTACCTCAGTTATTCATAACTAGGGTGCTGCCAGCACTGCAGTCAGGTGCAACTACCCTCCATGCCTCAGTGCACAGCCAGATAAGTTTAAGCCAACAGACAGGCCTGCTCTTGCTCCAGCCCTTCTCAGTCTGGCCCCTCCAGGCTCCTCCCAGAAACAGAGGTGTTGGGATAGTTCCACCTGCCCTACACACCTTTGTTTCTCTGAGGATTGTGGGGGTGCAGCCAGAAAAGGCTGCAGAAAGTGTGTCTAACTGCTTTAGGTTTATTGAGCAATTCCACCTGGTTGTTGCAGTGAAGGCACCTGCACCATGGCACCCCTGAAAGTGTCTCATGGCACCCTGATTGAGAACCTCCGCTATAATATTTGTAACCCCCACACTGCCTAGCTTCCATCATTTTCAAAGCTTCTATATGGTAGTCCATTTCTGAACTACTATTAAAAGTCTTGAAAATGAGGAAAAATAGCAGCCGTGAAATGGACTAGCTGTGAATCAAATGCTTCTAACAGTAACCCTTTAAAATCCCTCTTCACCGTTTCTGGAGTAGTTAAACAAAGTACAATTAATTACAAAGTAGATGGTTACAGTTATAGCGAGTATACAGTTAAACATAATACATTTAACCAGAGTACAAAGCAGACAACAGGGTTGAAAGGTGCTATACACTTAACTTATATGAAGTTAACCAATTTTGCTACAATGTAAACAACAGACATTAAATTAGGACTGTCATTGTCAAAGCCAGATTACTATGGGGGGGGAGGTCTAAACTGGGGGCTCTCAACCTTTCCATGCTTTGGCCTGGCAAACTGCGGACCAGAAGGCAGAACATGAAGCAGTGGCTTTAAAACAGCAAAACAGTTTTAGATTAAATCAGAATAAGTTTCCTAAATGCAAAAGCTTTAGGACAATGGAAGAAGCTGCGTAGGGAGGTTGTGAATCACCCCTGTATTGGAGGTTTTCAAAAGCAGGCTGGATGGGCATGTCTGGGATGATTTAGGAATAGCATGTCCAGCATTTGTGCAAGGGATTAGC